TATATATAGATAATGTTTTTGAGCAGACACTAAATAAATCAAATGGTATCATCAAGGCCTCTTGCTAAAGTGTCATACACCTTCCAAAATGTAATCCAACACAATTAATTCTGATCTATCCAATAGATTAAAAAGCGCCAGTGACAAAATCTTTGTATCTTTTTATTGTTTCACTATTTCTTTCATCCAAAATTTCAGCCCACACAAAAAAGATTTTTTTTAGAAGTTCCTACTGGTAGAAATTTCCCAGCACAATGGGAAGTTCCTCTTACCGATGCTCCTAAATGATTGCCTTCAGTCATCAATGCCATGTTGGGATGGGTCATCAAAAAATGATTGTCAGCACTGTTGATTTATCAAAACTTTTCTCTTGAAACAAGTCATTGCATGAGCCGCATTAAGCGTCTTGTACAACCTCGGTTTGCCTGTCTCTGTCACAAAGTCATGATGCATTTGATTAAAGTGCTATTCAATGCAGTAGAAATTAACTAGTTGGTAGTTGTTTGTGTGTCTGTTTGAATAGCGTGTCATTTTCATCTGTTTAAATCTACTTTTGTTTTTTTCCCCTTGCTTGAAAAAAGGAGGACTTACATTAGACATTGACACAGATGTGCAGGACCTACCCCTTCTCCCAGAACGACTGCCAAATATTTGTAAGAGGACAGACTCACAGAATAGTAGGTCCTTTTCCCAGTGTACCCTTCTTTTAATTTTTTTTTTTGTATGCACAGTCGCCTCTTGTTATGACAATTCCTTTTAAATGTTTGCGTTGGTTATCATAACTGTTATAAATCTTTTTGTAATTAGAGCTATGAGATTGACGTCCCCGAGGAAGCATTAATTGTTTTATCTTGTCAGTATCTGTCTTCTATTCTATAAATAAGCGCTTTTTTTTTTTTTCTTTTTACACATCACTCCGAAACGAGCAGTGTTTTTTTTTCTTAATTTCAAGGCAAGAAGACTATTTAAGTCTGCTGGTAGTGATGATGTTTCTCTGTGGAACTTACATGCAAGCTGTGAGATCATTACATGCAATAACTCACAGGCAGGGTAGGCCCATAGCAGAGCATTCAAGTGCATGGGCCCCATATGTTGGCAATAATTCCTTCGGTTTTCAGTCTTCTCTACAGAATTTTAGCTCATATTTCAGATATCATTTCTGGATTTTGAACGCAAATCAAAGTGATGGGAAAAAAATTTTTATAACATATATTTTATTAAAGTTTTTCACATATATCACAATCTTAAATACTATATAAAAAAAGAAAAAACTGGGTGAAGGAAACAGAATAGGCGGGGTGAGGAAATATCAAAATAACTAAACACATACAGTAACCTTGGTCAATACGCAACATAACCAAAGTATAACTTCAAGATATTCACAATTCCTATAATCTAAGTTCTATTAAATTGCATTCTCTAATTTGGGAATATTTTAACCTATTTTATTGGTGTTTTTCCTTTGCATTTTTCATAATTTTGTTAAGCCCATTGTTCAAATGTCTTCCTATTTATTATCTACCATAAAAAAGAGGTAGACATGAACGCAAAGAATAAAATTGATGCAGGCCAAGTCCTGAGCCATATTTTAGATCAATTGAGTTCATTGTGAGATTAATGCACCATTGAAGTTTACAAAATTAATCAATTTGTAAACAGATGATCTCATTTGTGCCCAATTTTTTTTTCACTCTCTCTCTTTTTTTAACAATTATGAAATTACAATAATAATAAAAAAAATCCACAGTTACTATATTTGTGTGCTGTTCAACAATCAACATGCAGGGAAACAAAACAATTCCATGGAAAAAAAATCATCATTCATCTACATTATAATTGCTTCTTTCCCACATCTACGGGGCGGTTAATTAAAATTGTGATTAAATGTGGTCTCGCTGCCTAAGATGTCTTGCCCAAAACAGGTGGTACGGAATTTAAAAGTAAAAAAAATGTAATTAGCATTGGAAATTGAGAAATTGCCTGTAAGAATCAGTGTTAATTTCAGTCAGTGATGAGGTAATTTATAAATGAATTCAGCAGAGGATGTAGAAATAAATGCACAACTGCCACCCTGCCCCTCCTCAGTGTTCTCAGCATGCAGGTGAAAATGTTTGCAAAATATTGAGGTAATTTGAAAATAATTCCCAGCTTTCTGGATTTTTCAGTTTTGGCCTGTCTCTGTAATACTAAAAACTTGGGTCAATATATATCTAGTACAGTTAGTCAAAGGAGGTTTACTATAATATGCTGGGCGTATAAAACACAGCTTGGAGTGCAATGATTAAGGGCAAAGTGCAATAACCTACCGCGACCAATCAGAAATCAGGTTGCTGTAGGAAGCAAACAAAATGGAAGCTGATTGGTTTGTATGGGATACTGCACTTTGAACATACTCACTGAACTATGCACTAACCAATGTTTACCGGACCTCAAAGAGCCTGTAGTAACCAGACATATTAGTTCATGCTTTCAGTGTAGGTGGCCAAATGCTAAGGATAACACAGGCATTTCTTTCAAACAGTTTGGTCAATGAGGCCTACTGGTAGTTGAGAGCCAAAGAGAAAAACTGTCTTGGTTGCCACATTGACCAGACAATGACGTTCTGCCATTCATTCTTTTGCTGAAAGTCCAAAATGTAAGGTGGAATCTCTTTAGGTAAACTTTTACAATAAGTGTGCAGATAGATAGATAATAGACATATAGATTATTGTGAGATTAATGCACCATTGAAGTTTACAAAATTAATCAATTTGTAAACAGATGATCTCATTTGTGCCCAATTTTTTTTTCACTCTCTCTCTTTTTTTAACAATTATGAAATTACAATAATAATAAAAAAAATCCACAGTTACTATATTTGTGTGCTGTTCAACAATCAACATGCAGGGAAACAAAACAATTCCATGGAAAAAAAATCATCATTCATCTACATTATAATTGCTTCTTTCCCACATCTACGGGGCGGTTAATTAAAATTGTGATTAAATGTGGTCTCGCTGCCTAAGATGTCTTGCCCAAAACAGGTGGTACGGAATTTAAAAGTAAAAAAAATGTAATTAGCATTGGAAATTGAGAAATTGCCTGTAAGAATCAGTGTTAATTTCAGTCAGTGATGAGGTAATTTATAAATGAATTCAGCAGAGGATGTAGAAATAAATGCACAACTGCCACCCTGCCCCTCCTCAGTGTTCTCAGCATGCAGGTGAAAATGTTTGCAAAATATTGAGGTAATTTGAAAATAATTCCCAGCTTTCTGGATTTTTCAGTTTTGGCCTGTCTCTGTAATACTAAAAACTTGGGTCAATATATATCTAGTACAGTTAGTCAAAGGAGGTTTACTATAATATGCTGGGCGTATAAAACACAGCTTGGAGTGCAATGATTAAGGGCAAAGTGCAATAACCTACCGCGACCAATCAGAAATCAGGTTGCTGTAGGAAGCAAACAAAATGGAAGCTGATTGGTTTGTATGGGATACTGCACTTTGAACATACTCACTGAACTATGCACTAACCAATGTTTACCGGACCTCAAAGAGCCTGTAGTAACCAGACATATTAGTTCATGCTTTCAGTGTAGGTGGCCAAATGCTAAGGATAACACAGGCATTTCTTTCAAACAGTTTGGTCAATGAGGCCTACTGGTAGTTGAGAGCCAAAGAGAAAAACTGTCTTGGTTGCCACATTGACCAGACAATGACGTTCTGCCATTCATTCTTTTGCTGAAAGTCCAAAATGTAAGGTGGAATCTCTTTAGGTAAACTTTTACAATAAGTGTGCAGATAGATAGATAATAGACATATAGATTGAATAGATAGATAGATAGATAGATAGATAGATAGATAGATAGATAGATAGATAGATAGAATCTTCTTCCTGATAGATCCTGATATATCTATAGGCTAACGAAAATAAAGTAAAGCAATGCTAACAGTAAAGAGTAAAGTGTAGCAATCCACGTAGCCTATCAGATCTCTCTGTACTAAAATCAGGCCACTATAACATGCATTTTGATTGCTTTCTTTGGATTATTGTACTTTTAGTTTGCTCTGAACGCTCTAATGATGTTCATGCATTTACCTTTTTATAATGCAGTTTAGCTGTTTATGTTTTGAAGTTCCTGCCATTTAAAATAGCTTATATAACCTTTTACTGCTTGTGGATATCATCTCTACAAATCAGCTTTGTTGCTCCCATGTGTTTACATGCTAACGGAGATTTGTTCCATTTTACATCTGTTTGGTTGGCACAAAATGTGTATGACTTATACTTGTTCTCCTTGACTTGTGTTTGCACCACGTTTATGACCAGTCTAGAGAATTTTTGTGTGACATCATTGTCTGACATCACTGTATTACAGTTTCATGCTGTTGTTATGAACCTAAACCTTTTTTAAGCACTCAAGTTTTAAAAGCAGTCGTCTGAGGTGTTGAGTTTATGAACAGTATTCTGCTGCAGTTCAGTTGTATTGAATAACAAACAAGGTCTATTATTCACCTCTTAGTCCACCTATAGAAAGCATGTAGTGTTGGTCATGGGATGAAGCTACCCATTATTATTCAAACTAAGCCACAACCTATCACTCATTGTATGTTATATAACATTGATCTGGTTTCCTATAATTTTGCCATATGTTTTCTTATGGAGCGCTGTCTAGCATCAAAATGCTAACTTAATAAAGGCCTTTAGAAACCTGGATGACCAATGTAGGGAGCACATACGAGATCTCAAGTCAGGGTTAGGGTTACCATAACCCTAAGGTCAGTATTGTAGGTGGCAGATACCCTAAAGTTCAACAGGAGGGTCATCTGTCTTTTGTCTTTGACATTCATGCCAGGAATTGCAGCAAGCATCAGTTTTGCTAGTAAAATACATCCCTTAATTCAGTATTAACTCTTAGTTGTAGAAATTCTTAAACTGTGACAAGTTCATGGCACTTGTGGCCCCAGTTAGACAAGGAGAACTAAACAATGTGTTAAGGAGTTGATGATCAAAGTAAAGATTTGGACTTCATGGCTACTGTCTTCTAGGAAAAGTCTGTAATGGTTGCTGTTACTTAGAACTTAAAATTATCTTCAACTAAGCTCTATAATGGAATGTTTAAGGTGATTGGAGGAATATTGGTACATTTGCAACAACACAGTTGAGTACTTAATGATACTTTTTCTATTGACACTAACACTTATTGGAGATTGACCCCCAAAAACCTGTCCTGAAAATTTAACTGCTATTGAAAATAAAACAGTTTTATGGACAGTACTCGACGGTGACAATTGACAGGGTTATTCACAAAAAGGTAAAGAGTTTGGAGAAGGCAGGAGAAGTGAACAATCTAGGCCAAAATAGCTGATTTGGAAAATGTCTTCATTTCAGCTCACTTGCCAGTTCAGCTGTGTTGTCCTAGACTGTTCACTTCTCCTGCCTCCTCCAAACTCTTCACCCTTTTGTGAATAACCCTGTGAATCTTAAACACTTCAGGCCTTATGTACAATCTGAAAGCTTTAAGACGAGAAACTGGAGGTGTTCAGCACACCAAATCCCATCTTAGTTAGCTTTTGAACACCCCTTCTATTCTGCTTTTCTCCAGTCCTTTCAAGTGAGTCAATATCAAGCTCCACGCAACCTGGAAAATACCTTTGAAAGTCCTCTGTGATCAAATGTGGCATTAGGTCTTAGCT